ACACGACGACCGTGGCATCACACACAAACCACTCAACCACCAACTTCACAGCTACTAATATTAGAATCAGACAATTTTAGTATGTTTTGTTGCATTATTATCTATTTAATTTCTATAATTACTTCGTGATAATCGTGCAATTTTTAGTGTGTATACACTGCAGAGCTGATGCGTAACTGTACACGAAGTTGATTTTCGAGTGTATATTAGTTTTCGTGTCCTCTAATGTTGTCTAACTAGGAAGAGCGTAATACACTCGAGTCAATACTCCTCAATAGTGCCATACTACTGTACAGCAGCTGTTGCGTTGATTACTCGTCCTTCTGTATGTCCACTGCAAATACAAACACTGTTAGTAACGTGTTCCAGATTCTGTAAAACAGACTAAAGTAATTGCAGGAGTTAATTGTACGTGGTAATTTCTTCGGGCTAAATTATATTTCTTATTGAAAATTATCAGCCCCTTAATATTTTTCTTTTATGAAATATATAATATGAAATTGCTTGAAAAGCAGTAATTCACGAATTAATAAGATTCAAAAAAATGTTTTTGTGGGGCAAGCTTGCCAACAATTTCAAACTTAATTAAATTTTCGTCGAACGTACACTCAAATTCTGTATATTACTTTTATTGCCTTTTAAATATACCGTTCTAGCAATTTTTTTGATATTTAGAAAGCAATTACACGTTGCTAAAGTGTGTTCTTTCACTTACTAGGTGCTAAATGTAAATGACATTTGTAATGTCATCCGTCCAAGTTGCGCAAACTTTCTTTTATTATAAATTTTACCTCACAATTAAGGATTGCGATATTGTTGATTATTTTCTATAGCACATCTCTGGCAGACGATGTCATCGTTACATAATACGTGTTATTTGGAATTTTTTATTCCCATTTACACGGTATGATGAGACTGATGAAGTAACAAAATGAGATTGTACATGGTTATTTAAAAAACACACACCCAAATTACCGGGTTTTAAACCAGTATAACACAACTAGGTAGAAAATATATTATTAGTTTTTTTCCCAAAATACCATTCAATTATCTTTTGTGAAGACATGAAGTGTGAACGTAATTTGTAACACTGTTATAAATAACTTCGCTATTATCACCCGTAATTTGCTTTATATAATGCAGTGTATGTACAGACACAAAAAACGTTTCTCGGTGGGTGGTAAATCAATCTTTCTTATTAACATTAATTTTGACATTGATTGCTGGAAGCTATTAAATACACTAACAAGAACAGTATTTCAGACGATGATGAACCTAGGGATTATAATCTCAAATATACTCAGTCTTAATATTTAAGATACATTATGATAGGAGATTAATGGATGCTAAAAGGGATTTTTAATGACTTAAGTCAAACCTTGCTTGATTATTATTAGTATTATGTGACGGCAGTTCTTTCTAAGGTGAATTTTCATAGTAGCACCCAGTATACTGAAAATCAAAATTTGTCAATATATTGAAACATTTTGTTTCAGTTGTGGCTCTGTGAACACTGACAGTTGTTTTTCTTACCCTCTTTTCACAAATATTTTTTTGTTTTTCGTGTTTTTTCTTTTGTATTTTCCCATACATCATACATCTTCACGTCAGTGTCGTTTATTTATACATATTTGTGGAGAAGTTTGAAATATTTTTATCTATTAGGTGTCAGCAGCTCACTATTGTTTCAAAAAATCATTAAATGACGCTACATAAATTTAAAATTTAACGAAACATTTAAACTTCTAACAATGGACGGTTTATTGCGATATTATGTGAGTATTCAGCACATGTACAGGCACAGGGTGTCGCTTTCAATAGAATTTGTTTTGGGCCCCAGTTGAAAATGTGTTCCAAAAATGATATATTATTTTTAATGAAAAAAAATCACACGAGATTTTCATCAACTTTTTTTCAATATAGTTGTATATACAGGGTGGGACTAAGCGCACGGTCCTCGATACCTCGTTTAAATATGAGAGGTACATAAAAACGTTTCAAACCAAAATTATATATTTTTACATACTCTGATTGGCCTCATTATAGGGTTCATAACTGTGGTTTATTGTTAAAATTTTGATGCAATTTTGTCAGGTTATTCAAATTTTTTTGAAATTTTTTATCAATGCAAGAGTTAAAAAAATTGCAATGGCATTATTATTAAAATCTGTGTTACAATTTTTTTTTGGAGGAGTAAAAAGGTATGTGCTGTGTTGTGATATTAATTAAATTAAATTTTAATATACAGAATGTTTCTAAAAAAAACTCTAAAGCATTACCATATTGAAATATCTACAGTTTTCTCAAATGGAATATGTTTTATTACACAGACCTAGCTTGAAATAGGTATATATGTAATGGTGGTATAACAAAGTCACAGTTTTATAATTTTCAAAGCTAACGCTTTGGAACTTTCCACAAAGCTTTGTAATCACGTTATCTTAATAAATATGTGTATAAAAATAAATAGGGTTTGAACTTATTTATACAGGATAATGGAACATATAAATAGGTCGTTTTCTCATACTGTTTAAATAGGATATTCTATATTTTCTAAGAATTTCGAAGTCATCGCTAAATAAACTTTCTTTTGATGTAAGCTTTATTGAAGTTGTATAGTTGTATATATATTAAATATATTATACAATCAAACAAATCCAGTGTTTTAGAACAAAATATGTAAACAACACCAATCACAGTGTAAGAAAAAATAAAATGGCGTTAACCAACTGAGAATAGAGAAAAAAATCAAGGCGGATTTTTAAACCAGAAATACAAGGATTGTATGTTACCTAAAATTTGACAACACTCGATCCGGTAGTTTCGGAGATAAAAATCGACACAGACGACAGACAGACGGCAGACAGAAACGGAAGATTTGTTATGTGATACTTACAATATTAGTAAAGTAAGAACTAAAATATAAAAAAATGTGGATAACAGAATAAAAACGAACATCGAATAAATCACTACCCAAAATTGATCAAAATAAAGGTGAAAGAGCAGAAAAGGAAAGGAAGACTCAAGGATATATAATAAAAGGGAAGAATTAGGAAGGAAAACACAGAGAAAAAGAGAACTAGAGGGCGAAGGCACAAAAAGGGCAAAACGAGATAGATGAAATTAAGAAAAAATAAAATAAAAATCAAAGGGGCGAAAAAAGTAGAAAAACGAAAATTAAAAAAATATATACAAAAAAATTGAGAGAATGAAAATAAAAACGAGAAGGCGAAAGCAAAAAAAGGGAAAACGAGATAGATGAAATTAAGAAAAAATAAAATAAAAATCAAAGGAAACCGAGAAGTAAAAAATATATACACAAAAGATAGAAAAAAATGAGAGAACGAAAAGAGAACTAACACGGATCGGAGCATAAACAAGGAAGATAGAGAATGAAACATGGGGGGGGGAAGATTTTAGAACAAAAGTTAAGAAGCAGCAAACAGAAGAAAGAACATGTAGAAAGCGAGAGAAAAGGAGAGTAAAAATGCAGAAAAAGTGAAAAGATCGAAAGAGCAAAAGAAACTGCAAAGATTGACGGAAAGAGACTACAAAGAAGAAAGTTTGAAAAGGTGAGAGTATTAGAAAGAAAGAGAAGAATAGGGAGAGAGATGAATGATTTAATCAGTAAAATATTGCCTTAGTCATTTATTTTTTTGTGTCACCCTGTATACGCCGTTCCAAAAACATGAATCCATTGATGAGTCACAATTATAACAAATATTTTCGATGTTTTAAATAGGATTTATTTGTCAAAATTTTGAGGAGATGTTATAAATTTTTTGGGACGGAATAAATGGGTCCATTTTGATTACCAGGCTAACGACAAACTTAAAACGTTTACTAGATTTCACAGGATTTGATTTTGCACATTGAAAGTTAAATTGTAAACATGGAGCAGATGCAGTCAATAAATACAAAAAATATACACAATAAAGTAAATTCAAAGTATTTTAGTTTATTCGCATCAGAAGAGAGAGAATAAAGAATAGAGTAAAACGCATTTTTGAAAATTATAATGTTGCAGAATTTTTTACAATAAAACGCATTTTTTTTGATGCCACAATAAACAACATATTTTTGTTCATCTCGCTGTAAAATATTGTAATACAGATGTTAAAAGTATCTTAATGCGATTTTCTAATGAATTCTTGCATTGTAAAAAAAAAGTATTACAATTCAAGAAAATTGGAATATTTAAGATGAAAACCCCTCATCGCAATTCCAAAAATAATTTGTGAGTATAAACCTTAAGAAGCAGCTAATCAGAATAAAAATATACGGGGTGTTTCATCATTTAAAAAACTATATAATGTGTTATGACACCTCTAAAACGAAAGACTCTGTATACTTGGAAATAATTTTAGAGTACTTTACTCTAAGAACCGTGTAACTTTAGTTTAGGAAAACCATTGAAATCTAAATCTGTAAAAATATATAGGTTATTCCTTTAAAAAATTGACAATTTTGATGCAACCTTTAACCGAACAGCCTGTATATCTGCAAATAGTTTTAAATCGTCTCCCTAAACGAGTTTCATTAGTTGGCGTCATTTTTTTTACAATAATCCACGAAAAATTTATGATCAGGGACATCTATATATTCCATTAATTTTGTTGTCGCAGAAAACCATTTAAATTTAAATCAATTAAAAATTTAAATAATCTGTAAATAAAGGTAATAAGAAAACTTGATCATAGTTTCTAATTTAAAATATGGACCAGTGGATTTTTAAATATTGCTGTTTTTCCCAGTAAAAATGCTAACAGAACTATATTTTTTTTCGATTGGTAAACAGTCTAAATCTGAGAGAAATATCTGAAGTCTTTGAGTGTATCAAAATATGTTTTAATGAGTTACCGTAAACCAGTAATCCCTCTACCACCTGACCACAGAGACACCTCCAAACACCACAGCACAGACATATCTAATTAGGACTTCCATCTAAAACAAACACCAAATCTCCATTTTCATGTAATTTTTTTATTAAAAAAACCTGTTATATATTTCACGTAAACAAATCAATAACACCCCAGCAGTCTGTCGAACTGAAGATAAAATTCCTAAAACCCGTAACCTCCACCGTACCCCGAATGCAACCCCCATTGATTATGTTTGGTCGATTCGTCTGCGTGAGCTGCTAGATGTTCTGCCTTGGCGATATACACTTCGGGGGTATCAAAGGGGACGCCGTTGGGAGCTATCACCGGCTCGTGCACGGAGTGCCCGCCGGAATACTGCACTCCGGATTTGGCTAGCTGGTGGGCGAGGCGGTGTTGTTGGCGGGCGGCTTTGACGGAGGCGGTGTTCACGGGGACACCCTTCTTGGTGAGGATGGGGATGTGGTAGAGGTCTTCGTGCGGGGCGTGGTAGTAGTCGTCGTCGTCTTCGTCGTGGGCGGAGGCGTGGGCGACCAAGTGCTGGTATCTGGCGACTTGGACTTCTGGGGTTTCTTCTGGGACGTACGACTCATGGATGATGCCACGACGAATGCGGTAGTGGTGGGTCTGGGCCTGGGACAGGGCGGCGAGGTGGGCGGCGCGGGCCTGTTGGACTTCGGGGGTGTCGATGGGAAGTTCTGAAAGAAGAGGGCGGTGTAAGTGGGGTTGAAAGTTGGTAGAATTCACAAGAAATTCCACTGTTTGACATGCATTGGTCATTTCATTTTACTTTATTTTTTAATTCTAAAAGAATTCAACTAATATTTGCAGTATATAAAGTTATCTAACTAGAAATTCTTTCGTGTCTAAGGTATAAGGTAATATAACGTTCCGTAGCACATTTTATGGTAGAATTTATTTAATAATCTCTTGAGATTATATTACTTACTATTTTACTCAAGAAGATGATAGTTTGTAACCCCCAAGTTGTTATAATACTCGTATTGTTATTGTTGTGCCATAATAAGGTGAATATTCGGGTTCAAATTCTACTTTTATTTAATTTTAATCAAAACCATTGGCATTGATAATGCAACTTATTTTGTGAATAATTGATTGATTGTACAGGGTGATTTCGAAATATATGCAATAATTGTAACCACGGTGTCAGGTACCGTAGTATTGTGCAAATATAGACAAAACAAAGTAAAAGTCGAAAAAGGCAAAAGCCCCATGAACCATCCTGGGTCGTTTCTACCGACTCACTGTTTAGGAAAATGGTTAACTAACCATTCAGCTACTCTAATTTAAAAAGTTATGACGTTCACGACGTTCTTTTAATGTACGATGCACTACAAACTGTGAAGCCCCAATTTCAACTGCAAGTTGGCGAGTGCTGATGTGGGGCTCTTCTTCGACGCGTTGCAAAATTTGTTCTTCAGCTTGCAATGTTCTATCTGTTCTAACATGGCCACGATCGTGAGTTTGAGGTTTGAAGGTACTATGATCTCGGAGACGCTGTACCACTGATGTAAATGATCGCGTATACGGAATCGCGCGATGTGGAAAGCATTCTGTTCACGATTCGCGTGCCAAGCTGGCGTTTCCATCACCTACCGTTTTTTTGTGGTCCTGATACTACTGATACTACTAATACTACTACTACTTAATGTGTTGTATAGTAGCAGCTATAGTTTTATTCTCTTCTGGGACATACAGAGGTTACAAGTTTCTTCCATTGTGCTCTATCTCGGGTTGTATAACTCATTCTAGATATCTTTGCTTCATATTGCCGCCTCCTCTGTTTTCTGGAGCTACTCTGGTTTTCGCTTTCTTTGCGGATTCCACTGTAAATTTCAATTTGTATTCTCTTAACGTATGACCTATTCAACCATTCTTTCTTCTAAATATCTGGACATCTTTCTCTTCTTCACCAGTTCGTTGCCATAATTTTTTGTTTGTAATAATTTCAGGTTCTGTTCTTTTTGCCATTACCTATGTTTCTGATCCACAGAGAAGTACCGCTTTGACTGTTGCATCCTCGTAAGTTGTCACACAGTTTTAAATCACCTTTTTTTCGGAATTTTTATCACTAACCCGGTTTTCCAATCCATGGGTTTATTTTCCTCCTAGGTTTTTATAAAAAGTATCTAAAATATTTCTGCTTTGCTTATTTCGTTTGCTTTCAATTTGGTCTGTTCCTGGCTTCTTTAATTTTGAGACATCTCTAGTTTTTAGTGTCTCCATATCCTCTCTTTCCACATTCATTACATCTCTGAAGTATTCTAGCAATTTTTTTAATTGTTCTTCTGTCGTAGTCAATATTTGCCACTGATTTTTCTAATGTTTTCATAGAGTACTTTCTTGTCCCTACATCTGTTGCCTTTTGTGTTTCTTTAGCCTATGTCTTCTAAAAAATTACGTTTTATCTTTTTTTACACTTTTCGTTACTATCTACTACTGCTGTTTGTTTGTATCTCAGTTATATTTAGTGTTTTTTTGGTTCTGTTTTCTATTTTAATTCCCCTCTCTCTTTTATTTTCTCCGCGTATAATTGCTCATCCAGTTTTTTATCCTGTTTTTAACTCCTAATACTTCTCGCCCAGTTTCAGCAGGACGGCTTTAAAAGTATTCCATATATCCTGAACTGGTTTTTTATAATCTCTTCGTTCTGTCTTCATTTTTTGCACAAACCCCTTTTTGATATACTTGTTGTTAAGTTTTCTGGTGTGTATTCGATTGTTACGAAAGCAACCCATACGCCGCGCCGTCCCGGTACGACGCCTATGGGTTCTAGTATGTACGGCGGTGATGACTAATCGTGGGTGAGGGCGGCCGGCCGGCGTTCGCATAAAGACAAGCCTGGAACGGGTTACCGGAAGTCTCGATTGCGGCGTCCAGAAAAACCTCGAAGCGGCGTTCGCGATCCATCCAGAGGGATGAATGGCTGAGTTTGACCCACGCCGATTTTATTCACCGATCATCGTAACACTATGTTGTTCTACATAATTTTTCTTCAATGGTGTTGTATTTAGTTTCAGAATTAGGAGGAGGTAATGATCTGATTTTATCCCAGCGTCGGTCCTACTGAAATTATGTTTTTCTGTATATTTAAACCCACTTGGTAACTAGGGTCTGGATTCTACCATCGGAATGAAAGGCCTGGGTGTCAATTAATCGAATAAATTAAGTTTGAAATTTAAAAAACATTTGTAGTTTGTTAATAATAAAACATTTTCCGCAATGATTTACGAGGTTTACGATAAATCCACCTCAGTTTTGCAGTTTGTTAGTTACACTGTAGAATGTCATACAGTTTAGATTGTTTTTTGCGAAAATCTGGATGGCCGGGTAAAAAATCAAGACCGATTCATAAACCATATAACTACAGGAGTATGTTATTTTATAAAATTTGAATAGCATTTACCACGCAAAATTTTGAGTTGACGTGTGATAAAATTGTTGCTGGAAATGATCAGACAAATTTCAGCTAAACTATTTGACCACAATCAGTCCATTATCTAATAAATATTGACACAGACGACAGACAGACAACAGGTAGATGAAAACGACGGATCTATTCTTTCATTTTCTAATGGTTACGAAACGTCGAGAAAACATGAAAGTAGTTGTTCGACGGATGGATCCTAAAAATTAAATAATTTAACCATTTAATTATTTGAAAACATGAATAATACAACTGACTAAAATGCATTTACTCTATAATAATTAAAATTCAAACATAGATGTTTGTACTAGCCCTGCTTTTATTCATTCATTAGGAAAACAAAATAAACTGAGGTAAATTTACGTAAAATGACATGCTTGTTTACCAGAAGTTAGTATCCACTCCTATTTTTAATTTCTCAATACCGTTTATTAAAACAGATATTGCTATATAGATTACAGAACATTAACTAAATTTTATTCAAACAACTTCTCCAGAATGTTGATGACGTCATCCAAAAAATTATCATAATAGTTTTCAAGAAAGAATATGCTTTAGAACTTGTTTTGTGACTTGTTTTTTGGTACATAATAAAGAGTATGACAATAAAATAAATTTAGTCGTCTTAAATATACCATAAAATAGACATGAGATAAAATTATTAAAATTATAGGAATCAGTTAAACTTTTTTATAGAATTAATTTTATAAAAACGTATGTTATAAATGATATCTAAATCATATCGAAAGTATATCTTTTAATAACAATTCTTGTTTGTGTATATAAAATCGACATATTTTCATTTTGCGTAAAATATATTATATTTTGCAAAACCATTTTAAATATTATTAATTTAACTATTGGTTATTATTTTATTGAAGAACCATTACTGGAGATACAGAATGTACAAATTAATTAAAAAAAGAGACAAATAAATACAGAATTAAATGTACTTTAAGAAAGTAAGAGATTAAGAGAAACAGTGCAATATTCCAGGATGGTCGATTTTTTTCGCCGGTTAGTATATATATTTATCCCCACCAAAACTTTTATGACGTAGCTGAAATTAATTATTATTGTGGCATTTTATATCGAAAAATACGTCTTCAGATACGTCGTGCATTGAATCCTTGAGAGGTAAGGCAGATTTTTATGGCTGGGGTATTCATTACATAACTTTTTCAGGGTAATAAAAATAATGTAACCGGATGGGATCGTTTTGTTCTAATCTAAAATTATTGCCTGACAGCCAAGAGAAAATAATTTAATTAATTCTACATTTAAAAATCTGTAGTCAGTTTTAGACCTCTACTGAACACAACAATGAAAAATGGTATGATAAATGGTTTTTGTCATTTTGTAGTCATTAATAACGTTTTGAACTGTGTTTTTCATATAACCGTACATTTTTTGCCGAGTTGTTAAATTTTAATAGCCTAGAAACACTAAATTAGTTTTTTTTAGTCCATTTTATCATTTTCGATAAAATCTGATGTAAGCTTCCGTTTCTGGGTTATTCGAGTTTAAGTAATGGAAGATGAATTTTACGCTATATTTTTTTGGAAAAAGGAAGTAGTTTTGATACTAAAAAGAAATTTTAGTAGTTTCAAAGTAACTTACATAAATATCTTAATGATTTATATTTCTTCTAACATTTCTTTGAAGATCGCAGGAAAAAGGAATATATATAACAAGTTCGTGTCCTCGAATAATTTTTAAATGTTAAAGAACCACTTTTCAATTTCCAAAATCCTCCGAAAATAGAGTTGTTTTGATCAGCAATTCTGAGATAGATAGAATCAAATATAATCAAATATGCTTAAATTTAGAACTAATAAGTACTTTCTGTTAAAATCTTAGCTGAGTTGTTAATATAATGTGCAATCATCCATACGTGCTATGCCTACTCAATACATTTGTGTGGGATAATGGAATATGTTTGAATATTGCGCTACTGATTCTAGATATTGAAATTTAACAGATTCATTTCATACTTGATATCATTTATTTAATTATATAGGAGTATGAAACTAAATATGTGTGAAATGTACCTATAATATAAATGAAAACAAAGAGGCAAAATATGAGTAATAAAATCTTTAAATGCTGAATTATATTTTCATGAATCTCCAGTAATAATATGTAAAATATTCAACTGTTGCAGACGGTATTTTAAAGAATGCATAACGGACATTTGGGAAATGCCAGTAGACTGAAGCTTATTAAAATGGAATATTAAAAAATTAATCATGCTGAATTATGCATTAGAATTACATATTCCTACCTTTACATTATTTTTGTATATTTTGTCACATTTGTTTAAGTTCAATTTGCAGAAATTATGTAATGTTGTGGAAGCTTCATGCATAAATATAAGTTATTTTGCTAAAGGTGAAAAGTGAAATTTATTTATGACCAACGTATTAAAATTTTTGTAAATTTTAATTGATCAGACCCACTCAGAACACAAAAAGGAAATATATTATATGTATAAGAAAAAAAGAACACTAGACTAAAAAATCTAGAGAACAATACATAAAACAGATATAAATCTAATTTATTAATATGGAAACTCCGACTGACATCTGAATGTCGAATAATTTAACATCTTAAATTGGTGGAGAAATTACATTTTAATGTGTCTTCGATAATAACATCAAATTTTCAGCTGTTGCAGACAGTTGCAGAAGTATTTAACTTATTTTATAATTTAGCAAATGTCAGTAAACAGAAAAGTACGAAAATAGAATATTCAAAAATTAATATGAATGTGTAAATTTTTCTCACATCTCTTCGAGAAAATAAATTTGCTTAGGTGGTGTGAAAACTTCACGCATAAAAGCTAGTTATTTTGATAAATATGAAATGTGAAATTACCTATGACCGAGGAACTAAAACTTTATAAGTTCGTTGTTTTATGAAACTTGCTTAAAACACAAAAGGAAAAAGTTTTAGTTCCGGAAAATTCCAGATAGTGTTAAAGACCGGTCAACTGCAGATCGATAGCTACATTGCTTTTTGATACTAATGCAAAGACATGCGATAAGAACACTTGCGGAATAAATACATTTAAACTAATTATCATTAATATTAATTAAACCGATAATAGAAGAATAATTGATCTTTAGAGCGTGTCATAAATACCTGAAGAATATGCACCAATGGCGTAATTTTGCTGCTTTGGCTGCGTGTAAACCACATTAGTTTGGTACTGTTGTTGATGATAATTGTTCTGCTGTTGGTACGACTGTGGCTGGTACTGTTGCCGTTGATAATGCACTTGTTGAAACTGCCCTTGCTGATGCAACTGTGGTTGCTGATATTGCTGTTGGTACCCTTGGTACCTGGGAATCACAGCCTCGTTGTACTGACCGTTGGACTGACTCTTGGCGGCCAGAGCTCTGGCTCTCTCGAAAGCCTCAAAATGAGCAGCCTTGGCAGCCTGCACCTCCGGAGTATCGATTGGTACTCCATCCTTGATGACAGGCACGTAATCTCCCCGACCCTGGTACCCGTAATTCTGCCCCTTCACCACCACACACAACACACCAACCAAAAGGAATTGAATCTTCATTTCGACAACTTCAACCTCCTCGGACGATGGTGTTCCAGGACTGTTGAGAGCTGGTGTGCCGCAAGACGGAACCGATGCTATTTATATACAGCCCCAAAAATGAATAATTATTGGGGCATCATCCGTGAAGTCTAATTAATCTCGGTCGGTGAGTTTTTATTACCCAAAAATAAATAATTTAGATGTGGTTACGTCTTTACGCGTATGGTAATTGGTGCAACGGGTCACTTTCACTAGAGATGGGGGATGATATTGATTGAGGTATCGCAGATGGTGCCTCTAAGATAATTTTACATAGGAGACACTTGAAATAGGTGAAATTAGTTAGATAGGTAATATTGTTTCTTGATTTTTATTTAATTATATCGAAAATCGGGTTCAACCACTGAAGCAGATAGAAGAGACTTGATGCATATCAATTTATGAAAATTTATGTATATAGGGTAATTTCGTTCAAACACAGGGTTTGTACGCACAAGACGAGAAATCGGAATGTGAGGACCTATTTTATAATTCTCTTTGGCTTTGCAGACTTCAACTTTCCATTAAACTTAGTTTTAACTGCATACTGATATTCTAACCAACAAGAAAGTATGTAAATTTTGTAAAAAAGTACTTCCTCTTGTTCGCAGTGAGAAGGTCAGTTACGCGGTGCTGACCGACTAATTTCTCTCACTTTACACAATACTTAGTTATTTGAACCAGTTCATTCGCGCTCTACTCATCTCTGACGTTCCCATTTCTTCCTGTACCTCGATGCACTCTTTCATTACAGAAACTCATTTCCTCATTCTCTGTATCTTGGAGGCACATACGCCACCCTCTGCTAATACCGGCGCTCTATTGTTTTTAAAGCTCCCGACCACAATGGACCCCTGTTGATTAATAGTTCGGGTGTTATCCTTTAATTTGGTAATCTTATTGGTTTAACCGGCATTGTCGCCTGGATTACACCAGCTTAATCATGTCTTGGTTGATGAGATCGAGTTCGGGTATTAAATCCCGTCTCTTCATGTGGGGAAAAATTGCCGGAATTAAAACGGTGCTCATGTAACCAAGAAAATTGTTTTAGAATCAGCTGCATTTAAAAGGATCCACTAAATCTGGTTAAATGGGGAGGAAAATTGGCGCGATTTTGAGGGGTTGGGGGAATAGCGTAAAAATTGGGATTTGGTGATGGGTATCGGAGAGAAATACAACTGTGGGTATTTTACACAATTTTATATGGAATTTTGGAAAAAAAATATAATAATCGTTGTATAATACTCGTACAATTTTCTAAATTTCATAAAGGAACACGCAGTTTAAACCATATCCTACTGTAATATTATTTTCGCAGCTATTTTTTATCCAGTTGAAAATGTACTCATTTTTTATTCAAGTTTTATTTACTTTTATATTCCCGTTATTTTATTTTCTTTTTTAGCATCCATTTTCTAGTTGGTGCATTTTTTAACATGCTTTTAGTGTTCGTGCATTGTAACTTTTTTATGGTAAGTCTTTTTTGTTCCACTCCACTATAATCATGAATTTAAAAATTTATCAAAGATACATATTTAAAGAGCTCGGATGCAGTTTAAAATAAAGTACTAACTTATTAAAAAATATCTGATTTTTCAGGTTTATATGTATTTATGCTTCAAAATAAATTTAATTTTTTATTCTGGTGACCGAAATAGCAAGTAATTAATGCCTTTCTACTTGCTCTGATTGACCAGAGATAGTCAAGTAATGCATAGTTTAACATTTGTTGTACTATAAAAAATTTGAACAAATTGTGTCGATTTGTAAAGATGAACTCTCGAGTCGCTATGTTTCGTAACTGTTAGCAAAGGACAAAAGTTTGGTTTATCGAGAACAGACTTAAGTAAGTAGGTACTTTTAAATTTTAAGGATCTTGAAGCCACGGTTGAGAACAAAATCGACAGAACAATAAAATGCGGTCAAGCGGATGGTGGAACAGAATATCGGTATTAAGCGTAACTTCGGAGAATTTTTCTATACAAAAATCTAATTCCGAAATGAATGTGTACATAATAGCATTCAGCAAAATTGAGTTAGTGAAAGGACGAATCGTACACTAATTGACATAACGCGTTGTTTAATAATAATTCCATTGCTTCCATCACTTCGGGCCAAAGCTATAAATACAATAAATTAGATTAGAAAGTGGTGGTTAGTAATTAAAAGAATCCAAATAGAACAGGAAGATGTAATTTTATGGGACACTGTGATCACAATAAAGTCATAGAAGAACATCTCCCGATTGATTGCAGTCTTATAGCAGAAATAAAAGAAAGGTAAAAATATTAATAGAAGTGTTGACGAAGAATACCTCGAAAATATGCTTTATTGTTCAGATAAAACTACAAATAACTTTTTTTGTACTGATGAGACCCCAGGAAGTCGAAAGACAGATGTTCAGTGTGTCGTCTGTAATCTCTGGAGTCTATATTTTCTAGAGTTGTTTTCGAGCTTGTTTTTCTGATTCCATTAACGAATTTATCACACTTTAATCACCCACACGTCGCCATTGTCTATGATTCGAACGCATTATGTTGCGAAGACACACTTGCTTATATTTGGGAAACGGACAGGGGCGGCTCATGAGTTGAGAAGTTGATGTGGCCAGATAAGTTGCTCCAATATCACATGGAAATTTTTTTGCAAAAAATGAAACTTTAAAATATAAAAAAAATGGCCACTGCTTCTTTTTTGCAACAAATTCATAACATACTTCAATGCTTGTACTTTATGAATCTGTCTTTAGATTTTCCCCGTGGCATTTAAATTTTCCCAAAATTTCGAAGTTCTACAGCAATCTTTTTACCAGTAAGCGGAGCTCCTACAAGATTATTCGTTGGGCTACAGCGTAGTGTTCGTTTTCGTAGGCGAAAACTACGCAGGTTCGAATGTTGCATGGAGTTTTGGTTTTTTGCAGTTAGAGCTATTTTCTATTATATATTTTTCTATTGACATAACGTCTTATGCTGAAATAAGTGTTGATCACAACATTTTTAAATATGAAAAGTCACCAATACATATCATGGGTTGACGATAAGGACACTTCAGAGTTTCAGACCAATGTAAGTGTATTTTCATAACATAATGCGTTGGAATAGTAGACAGTGGCGGGGTATGGATGATGAAAGTATGATACATTAATGAATTCAGAAAACAAGCTCTACAAGAATCTCTGAAAAAATATGTAGCGTGTTATTAAAGATAAGTGGGATACCATACATAGTTCGTAATCAAACAAAAAAAATATATATAGATGGTCAAAATAAATTTGTCATTTACCTTCTTATACAGTTACTGGTATTATTGCCCACTCTAAGCGTTCAGAAGCGATTTGGTTGGTTTGGACTACAATTTCTGCGGGAAATAGGTTTTTAATCTGTTACCCGTTGAAATACAAAAATTGCTGTTTACACATTTTAAAAAGAAAATAAATCATTACTTGACATGTAAAGCTTTTCATAACATAGAAGAATTTTGTAGTAACAAGATATTTTAAATTTAATTTAAATATGTGTTGTTATAATTTGTTAGTTGACATGTGCACAAACAATAGTGATTAGTGAAATAAGGCACTAATAAACACTATTGTTATTATTATTGTGGTTATTTTTGATACATTGTATGATATTAACACTGAGAAAAAAATGAAAAATCAAAATAATCGAAAATTTGAAAAATCGATAAATCTAAAAATCGTAAAACCAACATGTCAAGAAATCGAAATATAAAAAAATCGTAAAACCGAAAAAATGAAAATCAATTGAAAATCGAAACTTCGAAAAACTGGAAAATCGAAAAATCGAAAAGTCCAAAAATTGAGAAACCGAAATAGACCAAAATCGAAAAATCGAAACGTTCAAAAATTAAAAAATTCGAAAAATTGAAATATTGAGAAATCGAAGGATCGAGAAATCTAAAAGTCATATGAAGTCGGAAAATCAAAAAATTGAGAAACCGAAATAGGCCAAAATCAAAGAAACGGAAAATTGAAAGTTACAAATTGGAAAATCGAAAAATCTAAAAGCGGAAATATAAGAAAACGAAGAACGGAACAATGGAAACACTGAGAAACTGAAATGGGCCAAAATAAAAAATCGAAAATTTATAAATTCAAGTTATAAATTGAAAAACTCATAAATCGAGAAACTGAACAATCAGAATATCGAAATATCCAAATCTCGGTATAGTTATAGGGAAATCAAAACATTGAAAAATGAAAAATTAAAAAATCGACAATTTGAAAAAATGAAAAATCGAAAAACAGAAAATCCAAAACTGGGAAGTCAAAAAATCGATAGATTAAGAAATCCAAACATTTGAAAAATTCGAAAACTCGAAATATCGAAGAACTGAAATGAAAAATCGAGAAATTGAAAAATCCAGAAGGCAAACATCGAAAGAATCGAAATATTGAAAAATCTCAAAACGAAAAAATGAAAAATGAAAGAAAACTGAAATATTCAAAAACTGGCAATTTATAAAATTGAAAAATCGAGAAATTGAAAAATTGAGAAATTGTAAAATCGAAAAATTCAATAACAAAAAATCTGAAAAATCACGAAACTGAAATTTCAAATAATCAAAAAGTGAAAGAAAAACTGAAGAATGGAAAAACTAAAAAATTTCAAAACTGAAATATCCAACAACTGAGAAATTAAAAAATTGAGAAAATGAGAATTCAAAAAGTTAAAAAAGTGAGGTCGAAAAATCAAAATCTTAGAAAATTGAAAAATTGAAAAATCAAAAATCTAAAATATTGAAAAATTGAAGAATTGAAGAAATGAAAAATCGAAAAACTGAGTTTATAAAAGTTAAATTTGAAAAATTGCAAAAACCAAATATTCAAAATCGTAAAATTGAAAAGGAGAAAAATTGGAAAAACGTAAAATTGAAACATCGAAAAATTGAAAATCGTGAAATTGAAAATTAAGAAATCGTAAAAACGAAAAATTAAATAATAATTAGGTAATCTGAAAAATCCCAAGAGTGAAACTTCGAATAATTGAAACATAAAAGAAAAACTGAAGAATGGAGAAACTGAAAAATCTAAAACTGAAATATCCAAAAACTGAGGAATTAAAAAATTTTAAAAATGAGAAATCAAAATGTCAAAGAAGTGAAGTCGAAAAATCAAAACCTTCAAAAATTGAAAAATTAAAAACCTAACAATTGAAAAATTAAAGAATTGAAGAAATGAAAAATCGAAAAACTGAGAGTTTATAAAGGTCAAATTTGAAAAATTACAAAAATCCAGTATTTAAAATCATAGAATTGAAGAAGAGAAAAATTGGAAAAACGTGAAATTGAAGCATTGGAAAATTGAGAAATGAAAAAATTGAAAATCGTGAAGTTGAAAAATTTAGAAATTGTAAAATCGTAGAATTGAATAATAAATAAACTGCAAAATCCCAAAACTGAAATTTCGAAAAACTGAAAAATGAAAAATTCCATAACTGAAATATCCAAAAACTGAGAAATTCAAAAACTGAATAATTGGGAAATGGAAAAATCAAAAAAGTGAAGTCGAAAAATCGAACCTTAAAGAAAAAATGAAAAATCAAAAACATGGAAATCGAAAATTGAGAAATCGAGAAATTGAAAAATTGAGAAATGAGAAATTGTAAAATCAAAATATTGAACCATAAATAGGTAATCTAAAAAATCCCAAAACTGAAATTTGGAATAATTGAAAAATTAAAGAAAAAATGAAGAATGGATAAACTGAAAAGTCCAAAACTGAAATATC